TTAGTGGTCCTGAGATGGCACAAATTCCTTTAACGCATGAGAAGGCAAAATACTTATGCATCATGAGAGCTAGCTACTACTTCACATTGCTTTGTAGCGACCACATCCGTATCAGGAACAGTCTTCAAGTCACTTATTTATTAGTGTAAAAAATTAAATCATTTCAACAACTCTATTATCGCAAGAACGTTGAGATCATTCGAACAAGTGTGTCAATCCTAGTTTGAAAAACAAACAAACAACAGATTACATTCGAATCCTATGAAAGCAATAGAACAGTTCAGAAATTCCTCTGTAAAAGTCTCCCAAATTTCGAAAACGGGGAATTTATAAACACAATTTTCTGCAAAGCTCACTTTCATTGCATCCCTCATGATTTACAAATGTCTATTACTGACAGTTTTCGGGTATCAAAAGCTATGCTCAATTTTAAGTGAAAATATGAATAAGATGGACAGAAACGGGGTAGCCTTTGAAACGAAAAGTCCCTTTCTACGGAAGATGAAAGGAGCGTGATGAAAGGCGTGAGTTGTGTTGGCAGGAACTATGAGTTCAGGATTTCTATCTAGAACAGCATGCAACAACTTCAAAAGTAAGGCTATTTGGCTCCCTTTTTGATAAAAAAATATTCCACAACTAGATGCTAACTATGAAGTGGCTGTGGCTGCACCCACTCTTGATTTTCCCAATGTATGTATTTCATCTGCGAGATATGACAAATAACTGAGAACTACCCTTAATATACTGCAATTCCAGGGAGACAGGAATAAATATTCTTCAATGAGCATATGACTATATAAAGAGTGAACCGTCTCGTGAACCGTTGACACCGTATCCGTTTTCACAATGGTTGTGTGAACACCAGGACCCGTAGCAGTTAGAGCTCCATAAATTCTCATTTGATTTCGTCAAGGGTTTCCCCTAATCGTACGGTTGCTACAGTGGCACAGAGGCTTCAGGGTATCCTTCGCGACACAAGCTGACTGCTTTCCGTATTCGTTGAGGCGAGTGAATGTGGAACTAGCCGTCTTCAAAACGCCATTTTTCGAGCGAATTGGAATCTAAACCATTGAGTTAGTAAAACACATTAATCGAATCGTCCGAATGACAGAAAGAGAAGAAACTCAAAACGTAGGACCCTACTAGCACCAACTCATTTTCACAGTCATAAAATTTCATACCTCGAACAGTCCACCCGACGGTGAAACTTGGAAAGTGACTTCATAAATTGCTGTATCCTTCCGTTGTGTTTCTGGTAGGACATAGCACAGTACTGAGTGGACCTGAACGAAAGCTCATCACTTTAACTAATGATGTGTTTGCAAAGATCCCTTGAAAGAGTTTGCTAAGGGATAGGCAGAAGTGAGAATCCTTCGAAAACTTGAAATTTGATGAAATCAAAATGTATACGAGAATTACTGAGAAATCAGCACGGCTCACGAAAATTCGGAAGCAGAGGACGCCAAAGAGGCATACTTATGGAAAAATATGGGGCTTACCTGGTGAAGAATCAGATGGGCGCAGTCATCTGTCACATTGTTTTCTTTAAGGACCGCATTGATACCGTCGACGGCAAATTGACCGAGTTTGATTGCCAATGCATCATCACTGAAAGGGACAATAATACAGAACAAAGCAAGACAGCTTGCTGGTTCCTGGCTGATGAAACCCTCTACTGTTGGTCGACCTTAAACATGAATACGGGAGTACATCTACATCTGACAGTCTCTTCAATTATCTGTAGCTACGTAAGAATCTCGTTAAGGTGTTCGAAGACAAGCAAGGGCAAGACGAGCAGGAAAAGCATCACATTCACGGGTCTAACTGCTTCTGTAGGTATGCTTTGGAAGTGCGATGTGAACGCTACGCCGAAAAAGCACCCATTACCATAGACACTCGCTTTGGGAGGGTGGTCCCAGTAAGTACCGGGCCCGAGGGAGTGCTATACATACATATACCGAGCTGCTGCCGAAAACATCACCACTTGAGAGTGAGGGCACTGTTCGTAGCTACAACGAACTCAAGAGGAATGGGAAATGTGAACACCGAAACAGAATGACGTGTCCACAGATAGTCAGTGGGACCAAGCACCCTTAACGAGGATTGATTCTACAGCCCTCTACTACTCTGGAGTATGGTAGAGGACTATAGAAAAATGTAGAAACTTCGAGGAAGGTCGCTGGGTAGACTCAGATTCAGGCCGAGTCGTTTTTCTGGTTTTTAGTAAGATCCAGAGCCAGTTATTTCGCGGCATAAACACTACCCAAGGTGAATTCAAAGGGTGCTTATTCGAAAAGCCTAATATGAAAGAGGAAAGAGAGACTCACTCGAGTGGAACTTTCTCATATTGGCATATACAGTATTGTGAAGGAATCGGGAGTGTCTTGCAGTTCCGAACAAAGCCTGGTTCGAATTCGCGAAGCAACGATGAGCCGCGACTTTGAGGTAAGAACGATTTGTACGTAGTATCCAGGAAGTTAGCGGAAGGTTGAACCTGAAAGGCGAAGTATGGTAAGAGAGAGGAATCGCTCCTTCTGCTCTCCGGCCCTTCACAAGATTGGGCCATTGAAACGAAAGATTACGTTTTTTCCCCCATTCATATGGGTGATTTCCCAGCTATCAAACAAAAAAACTGGGTTGTCATGGTACATATATGGAAGTTTCAGTAGGTTAGAGTACAGTGACGGTTCCTCTCGCTCAATTTACCTTTCTCACAAACTCAAACTACTGTCCTAAAGGTATGTATATTTGCTCCAGCCTTTCCAAAGTTTTCGAACTTTATAGGGCTAACTTTTCGACAAGTTCGCCTTCTTCAGAGCCTGAAAGTCGAGAAGCTATTTCAGATTGATTCTCTCATAAAATCAAACCTAAGACCGCTCTCTAGACCAGAAGACACCTGGACCCCAAATCAAGAGTGTTCCGAGGCTTACCCTGGTCTAAGTCGCCGTAGCGTTCGATCGCACCCAAAAACTCAAGTATATATAATAATGAATTATTTATAAAATAAAGGATCAAGCCGTATACAAGTGTGCTTCGAGGCTCACATTAGTTTCTGGGCCGTCGTTCTACGCGCCGGCGGCTTAGACCTAGGTGAGCCCTGTAGCACTCTTGTATACGGGTTCCGGAGGATTTTTAGTCTGAAGAAGTGTCTTAGGTTTCACTTCCCTTACGAGGAAATCAATATCGAATGGTTTTTCGACTTTAAGGCTGTGACGAAGGGAATTTGCCGGAACGATGACCCTATAAAGTTCAAAGAACCTTGGAAAGGCTGAAGCAATAGCATACATACTAATCAAAGGTCATACCAAGATTGAGAGAACGTCGAGCATGGTATATGTCTAAAGGTGCTTTTTTTTGACAAATTCTGCCGAGCGCATACGTCAGTTGTAGAAGCTCACCTCTAGAATATCCTTAAGGGTGGCGTGAAGGTCGTGCGGTGTAATGAGTTCATGTTCCTTGGCTTTGATTACTTTGAACATTTCTGAGTTCCGCAGAGTTTTTGGAACAGTCACATAGAGGAATGGATTGTTAGCCTCGCGTCTTCCAAAGTCCGTTTTCGTTTCCTGGAAAGGAGATTCATTTGAATGCGAAACTAAGCGTTTGACGTACATCCGACATCATCAATTGCCCTTTCGAGCATTTCAATTTTTTAGAAGAGTTTCTGTCCAGGGAATCTCTTCAGTCACAACTATTACACCTTTTTATTTCATTCCTTTCCTGGTTTTT